ATTTATAAAAATTTCACCGTAATATAGTAAAAATCTGATATGTTAGTCAGTATTTTCTTCACCTAATAAAGGGCGCAAAGTAAATTTTTTCACCATGAGACAACCTCCTATTTCAATACATTAAGCGTAAAAAAATAGACACTAAAAAGCCCCCCACCCCCAACCCCTCAAAAATACAAATAATTGCAAACGATTAAAATCAACACTTCCCATAATATTTACCCATAATAAATTTTAATTTTTAAATTTTCATCTGCCTTGGTGAGGTAGTTTTTTTTCGATTTGGAAAAAAGTATTCTTATTTTAAGTTAATACAAGTAAAAGTTCATCTTTTGTCGCTATGCCATTTCCAAAAATAAAAATGTGCTTTTTAGTCATACCCCTAATATATATATATATATATATATATATATATATATATATATATATATATATATATATATATATATATATATATATATATATATATATATATATATATATATATATATATATATATATATATATATATATATATATATATATATATATATATATATATATATATGTATATATATATATATATATATATATATATATATATATATATATATATATATATATATATATATATATATTTTGTACAGAATTATTTTTCCACCAGAAAAAATCATATTATTTACCTGATGATTGCATTTAGCATGAAACTTATAGTTGTAAAAAAAATGTAGTTATATATATATATATATATATATATATACATACACACACACTATATATATATATATATATATATATATATATATATATATATATATATATATATATATATATATACATATATATATATATATATGTGTGTGTGTGTGTGTGTCTATACACACACAAACACACACACACACACACACACACACGCACACACACACACACATGTAATGTACTCGATGAGTCATCTACCCTTCTTCTTCTAGAATTAACTCTTGAGTCCCATTTTTCTTGGAAACCATATATCAAATCGATTACAAAATTAGCATCTGCTAAGTTTGCATCTCTTTATTGAGCTTGCCACTTTCTTACTCCCAATTCTATTCTTTATCTCTATAAATCTTGAATCTATCCTTGTATGGAATACTTGTATGAAACGCATTGTAAACAAGGTTGGACCTGCTCTTATAGCCAATCACCAACCACATCACATTGTCGTAATGTAAATAATCACATTGTTTTAATGTTGCTTCTCTTTCTCTTTTCTATAAATACTATAATGGTCAATGCTCTAAAGAGCTAGCGTTTCTTGTGCAATCTACTATAAACCATTGTGTTACTCGTCATTCTATTAAGTCTCATCCTTTTACTACGACTGTTCCTAATTGCTTTAAAAGTTCATACTTGTCTAGTTTTTTTTGTTGAACATCAGTTCTTTAGTTGTTTTTTTTTTCAACATCTTCATTTCAAGCATTAAACCCTGACTTCCTTAGCATTTTTCGTCCTTTTCATTTATTTGAACGAATTAAAAACAATTAAAAAAATAAGAATGTGTGAAAAAAAAAATTAAAAAAATAATTTTAAAAATTAAAATAGATGAATTTTACAGCCTAATGATTTTACACTTCAATTTTAGTTATTTTTAAAATGATTAAATAAATGAACAGCGACCTCGGGCATTAAAAAGTAATAAAATAGTAATTTAAGTAAAATAGTATTTAATGCATTAATAAATAAGAAAAAAAACAATAACAAAAAAAACAAAAAAACAACAGAATATGGATAATTGAGAAAAAAAAGCTTTCAAAAACATTTTTTTACGGGATACTATAAAAAGCATAATCATAATAGAGTCGCATGACAAATAAATAAATAAAAAATATTTTTTAAATAAATAAAAAAAAACTAACATTTTTTTATCCCTAGTTTCCTTTTAAGCTTATAATTTTATGCTACTTATATAGGAAAATGTTTCAGATCCACAAGAAGAAGCTAAATTATCTTGTGGTAAAAATGAAGACCCTGATGGTTTTAAACTAGCAGAAGTTAATCCAATTATTGGTAAGTTAATTAAAGGATTTATAACTTTACAAAAATTTTATAAAATATTTAAACAGTTATAACTATTAAAAATTTAAACAAAAAAAAAATTAAAATTGTTCATTTTTTTTTAAATTTATTACAGGGGCTCCTCAATTGTAGATTTTATGTCTTTTAAAAACACAGATTTTAAGTTCTTTAGAAACACCATTTACTTGATTATCATTTTTTTAATACTGCTTAGCCAAGTTATTTATTCAGTTTGGCTATAAAAAAAGTTATGTTTTTGAAAAATTAAAATAAATTTAATAAGTAAAAATCATTAGTGTACTTTCATCTCTGCAGTAAGTTAATCGGAAACCAATTTAATACCAGTTTTGATTCTTCTCTTAAATCAAGTTAAAGAGGAATCAAAGCTAAAAGCTAAAATGAACAAACTTTTAATTTTGAAATATTTAAAAAAATTTATATAAACAAATTTTTATGCATAACATTTTTTTAGGGAAAGGTGTTTTTACAACAAAGGTTTTTGCAAAAAATGATTTTTTATTGGAATATAAAGGAGAACTGATTAGTAATGAAGAGGGTATCAAACGACACGAGAAGTATGGAATAGACAAGGGCTGCTTTATTTACTTTTTTGAACACAACATTGCTGGAAATAAGCATAATATAAAATATTGGTAAGAATTTTTAACTAAAAATGTTTTTATTTATGCGAAATAGATGATTAAAATATTGTAGTAAAATAATAATAAATTAAATTAACAAAAAAACTACTTGTTTCTTTGTGCTCAGAGAACTTTTTTTTCCATCTTGGCTTTTCCTGCAGATATCTATGAATTGAAAAAAAGTTCTTAGTATATAAAAGAATAGCATGAAAATAAAATAAAAATATATAATGCAAAATTAAATCCAAGAAATTAAATTTTAAAAATACATAAAATCTCTTGAAATGTTAGCATTGACGCAACAGAAGATTGCCATTTAGCACGGTATGTTAATGACTCAAAAAAAAAACCAAACTGCAAAATGAAAAAAGTAATGGTCAGGGAATCTCCACATCTGTGTTTATTTGCAATTAAAGACATAGATGTAGGAACTGAGCTGCGCTATGACTACATGGATGATGGAAAACTCTGGTGGAGAAATTTTGTAAGTTTAAAAGTTTAATTTTAACTAAAAAGTCAAGATATTCAATTTTAGAATATATCTTTAAATATCCTATATGTTATGTTAATTTACACTTTATTTTATTTACTGGAAACTAAAAAAAAAACTTAGGGTTAAAATATTATTAGGTTGCTTTATTTGGTCAAAAAATATATTTAAATAATAGACATTAAATATTTGTTGCTTAAAGTATATTTAAACTACCATAAAACTAGAACTAAAAAAGATATTGATCAAACATTTTATTCTTTTGGAAAGCATCTTTTTAAACAAATTTTGCATTTTGGATAACATACTAAAACTGTATATAAAAGCGTAAAAACTGTAATAAAAAAAACAAACAATATTGATAAAAAAACTATGATAGATAAAAAACTAATGCAACAAAATAACATCTAAATTAGTATTTCAAATTATTTTTGCAAGTTTTTGCAACATCATTTTTTGCAACAAGATTGTAGCAAAATCCGTTTGGAAATCTTCTTTAAATGGTATCTAATTCTTGTTTTAGGCTATATATGGATCTTAATTAGCCATCTTTTATATGCCACTCTGTTGTTTCAATTACTGCTTTTTAACCCATTTCTATGTATCTTAAATTTAAAATTTTTTTGCAACCTTTTTCGTTAAATTTTTCGTATTCGTATATAATAAAAGTGTACTATTAAAAAAAAGTTATTGGAACTTGTTAATGACTTAAAAAATTGCAAAAATTTAGAAAATGTAATTAAAAGCTTTATAAAATGATTTTTTAATTGTCGTTTTAGATTAATTAATTGGAGTGAGTAAAATAAAAGTTATTGTTATAGATAGAGTACAAAACTCCTTACCAACTTCCTAAAGTTGATCTTGATGACAATGAATATGATTTTACGATCAGCGATGTGAAAGAAATTAAAGAAGAAAAAAAAGAAGTTTGAATTTCTTAGTTTTAAATAAGTTTTATATATTGTTGTAAACTGTCCACATTTTAACTAAAAAGTTTTTGTTAAGATAATCTTAATCTAAATAAAAAACAAACAAAAAATAAATAACATTAGTAAAAGACAAACTTTGAAGTTGCAAAATGCTTTTTGCTAATTAAAAGTATATAGCACCAATGTACTATATATTTTTAATTAAATCCTTATTAAAAAAATCAAAGATATCAATTTAAAAACATTTAAACTAAAGTAAAGGGTGTTTTTTTTAGAGGTATAGAACTTTAAATTGCAATAAAACAACGATGGATTATTCGATTGACAAGAATATTTTTTATTAGAAAGATAATCTTGTGGTATTACATTTTAAATATAATTTCTGGCATATGACCGCCACGGCTGGCTCGGATGTAGTCCAATCTGGACGTCCAATTTTCAATGACTTTTTCCAACATTTGTGGCCGTATATCGGCAATAACATGGCGAATGTTGTCTTCCAAATGGTCAAGCATTTGTGGCTTATCCGCATAGACCAATGACTTTACATAGCCCCACAGAAAGTAGTCTAGCGGTGTTAAATCACAAGATCTTGGAGGCCAATTCACAGGTCCAAAACGTGAAATTAGGCGGTCACCAAATGTATCTTTCAATAAATCGATCATGGTACGAGCTGTGTGACATGTTGCGCCGTCTTGTTGAAACCACAGCTCCTGGACATCATGGTTGTTCAATTCAGGAATGAAAAAGCTTGTAATCATGGCTCTATACCTATCACCATTGACTGTAACGTTCTGGCCATCATCATTTTTGAAGAAGAACGGACCAATGATTCCACCAGCCCATAAAGCGCACCAAACAGTCAGTTTTTCTGGATGTAAAGGTGTTTTGACATACACTTGAGGATTATCTTCACTCCAAATGCGGCAGTTTTGTTTGTTGACGTAACCATTCAACCAGAAGTGCGCTTCATCGCTAATGAAGATTCGCTTATGAAAATCGGGAACAACGGCAATCTTGTTTTGGGCCCATTCGACAAATCTACGCCTTGCTTGATGATCGTTTGGCTTTAACTCTTGCACGAGTTGGATTTTGTAAGCACGCATACCAAGATCCTTCCGCAAAATCTTTCATACAGTGGATGGACACAGATCCAATTCCTGTGCTCGATGGCAGATGGACTCATTCGGGTCTTCCGCAATGCTACGCTCTACAGTAGCAATGGCTTCTTCTGTACGCACCATACGGCGTCTCTGGGGATGCAAGTTATCAATAAGATTAAACGTGGTGCGAAAACGTTCCATGGTTAATCGAATTAACTGCTCTGATGGACGATTTTGTTGAGGATAAAATGGACGTATTCCGCACAGAACCATTATTTTCGAAATAAAATTGAACTATTTGCAGGCGTTGTTCAGGCGTGAGTCTATTCATGATAAATTGCCAAACCAAACTGAGAATAAATCACTTGTCACCTGTTAAATCGGTCGCCATCTTGAACAGTAATGCCAACTTAAAGTTCTATACCTCTAAAAAAAACACCTTTTAAAAAAACAGTTGAAATAATGTGCAATATTATACAATTAACTTTTTTGAATTTTTACAATGTCATAAAATGGTAGTCTAAAAAATGATATTCCTAATAATTAAATTTATTTTATTTATTTAGGATATTATAACAAGTTCTCCTATCATATTATTGGAAAAAATACCTGCTGCTGCTGCTGAAGTTGTAACATCAAAAAAATCTTTAAATTTTTACAATGAAGTGACACACAAGGCACCCGAGAAGTATTATTTCAATATTTTATACTGAGTTTATAAATATGTGTTGCAAGATGTTTTTTAAAGAATTTCTGAAATACCACTTCAAATTCAGAAAAAAAAATGTTGTAATGAATTATAAAATTTATGTTTTTAATTTTAAAATGCAAATTTAGAAATGTTTATAAACATCAATTTATACAACCATTAATAGAAGTGAAATATTTAAAAAACTAATAATATCAGTGACAAATTCAAATCCAATAAAATACCAACTAAATATCATATGATCTTATCTAAGGATTGGTGAAGTTAACTTTTTAAGACCCAAATTTAATTGAAAGGACAAATTTGTGCGTTTATTTGTATTTGTACACTAAATTTAACTGGAAGAGAAAATTTCGGCCATTTGTGTACCCCAAATTTAACTGAAAGATGAATCTGGACTTTTAAACCAAATTTAACTGAAAGCCAAATTTAAATTTTAAAAATACATTTATTTGAAAGAAAAATTTAGATTTACTTATTAGCCAAATTAAAATGCATTTAATATTTACAAAATGCAAGTAGGGGAGAGTGTGCATAAGATGTTTCTATTTCATTTTTTCTTCTCCTATTTCTTGAAATCATTTTCCCAAGGCTGAGAGGGCCAGTTGAGAAAACTACTTTTTTTTTTTTAACTTTAGAAATCAATTCCAATTTTGTATTTAATAAGCATTCTTGGTTTGCATGTGTAATTATTTCAAACTTTTCTTGTAGGCATAATATGCGTTTTTTGGGAATATTATTATAGTAGGTGCTGTTTTAAGGATGGACTAATTCAATATAAAATCAGCAATATTTTTATTTCGCAATTACCATATGTATTTTGACAGCGCGGTATCTTTTGAATACTTTTTATTTTCAAAGAAATGCTTATGATATGCAAAACCTTACCATTCACCTTCTACTGAGCCAATATAATGTTTATCAGGTACATTTTTAGAAGAAACAACAAATTTATATACCATGTTTTTTAGTAAATGTTTTTAACTCATTGGACTATTGTTATTTTGCTTACAATTTTCTATAACTTTTTCATTTAGGGTTTTTTTTTTTGTATAGCATTATTGTGACATGCAACTGTAGCTAACTTTAATTGTGTTTCAATTAAAAATTTTATGTAATTTTATAGAGGGCAAGATTGTTTATCAATTGATTTTAAAAACACTTTTTCTATGTTAGTAGAAACATTTTTGATATACAGGGGATAGATGGGTGAGGGGTTAAACCAAATTATATTTCTAGTTGTAATTCTCTTTTTTTGCATTCTTTTTTTTATTTGTAAATACAATTAGAGTAATTGAATGCATTTTCAAACAATAATTGAATATTTTAATTAGAGAAGATTTGGTTTAGTTTGTTATTAATTGAAATTGAGATTTCTTTTAGAATTTGGCATGAATGATTTGAGTTAATATTAATATTCAATAATTCAACATTTGGTTTTTTGAAAGGCTTATATGAATTTTCAGAGAGGTTAAACTTGACATTAAGAAAATTCACAATTTTTAAAAATATGCTTATTTCAATTTGGAAGCAAATATTTAAAAATTTTTTTATAATATCTTTTCTAATTATATCAAGTTGTGGAATAGATTTTTCACGCATTACTATTGAACCATCATCTAGATTAAGGCCTGAATCATTAATATTGATTATTTTATTTAATAAATTTAAAATATATAGTTCCACAAATTCACAAACTTTTGCTCCATCACAACTGCGCATTTTAAATCAAAGCAGTAGCATGTTTTTCTTTTTCTACATTCCTTATTAACCCTCCGTCGGGCGCAATCATTTTGTAACTCGGGAAGGCGCATTGTATCAAATTTATACGCATAACAATTCACAAATTTAGTATTTTATTATTTTTTTTTTTAATTTTTTAAAATCTTTAAAAAAATATGAAATATTTACAAAAATTAAAAATTCCATCACAATTGCTATTTTCAATAAAAGAGGTGCATTGATCAAATTGATACAAATTTCGTGCAACTGTTTTAAAAAGCTAATTATATAAAAAAAAGAGTTTCTGAATTCTTTGAAAAGAAGTTTAACATTTATATAATATTAATTTAATATGATAATTATCATCTTATAACATATCGTTTTGAACTTTCAAGATTAAATAATTCATTTCATCCATTTTAGAGGCAAAAAGGAGGAATTACTAATATATTAAAAAGAAAGATGAACAAATTAAAATATATTTTGAAAGTCTAAACAAAAAATGTTTTAATTATAAGTAGAAAAGGTTAGATTTATATCCAACCTTTTGTAGTAAAGACTTTTGTAACCAATAACGCTCTAAGGCGCTATGTATCAACTTGATATTTTAATTTAAAAAAATACATTCCTGTTGAATTGAACAATAAATAATATCAAATTATGTCTGCAAATTTAAAAATGTATTTACAAGATATATTTTTTATTATAATCAAACTTATAAAATGAAACATAAAAAAGCGCAATGTATCAATTTGAACAAAATGATAAAAATCAATTCATATAAAGTGATTTAAACATGTTTGATGATGTAGAACAATAAAAGAAGAAAAAAAAATGAAGCTACTAAAAAGCAGAACTTTGAGTCATTACTTAAATACTTGTACCAGATAAAATTGATTGACAAGTATCAATTTGATCAAGCGCGCCCGACGGAGGGTTAAAATTATAACAAATATAAGTATAAATAAAGGGTTAATATAAAGTAAGGTTTTTCTGCAATGTTTTTTTATAGGAACTGGCTCTTCTGGATTAACTGTGCGGATTTTTTTAATATATATATCATATATATACATTTATACTTTTTGGCATTAAGCTGTTTTACAGATCAGTATTTTTATTGTCACCACTAGCATTTTTATTGTCAGCACTACCATTCAAAGTTTATGAGCTCCTTCTATCCTTACCCACATTTTAATTGAGGGTCTCTATCTGAGTTTTCCTTATGCCTTCAACTTATACAACAAAAGAGCCTCACTTGTCGAATAGAATCAGTTTAACAGGACATGTATATATATATATATATGTATACATAGTTTTGTACTTGAAAAAATACAAGACAAAAAAATTAATTTAATTTTTTTTTCATTTTTGCAAAACAAAATTGATTAATAACAAATGTTTTTTCCATTATCCCCACCTCCCCAGTATGTAACTATCACATTATATAACATTCTATAAATCTTACCACTCTTATGAAGTCACAACAAGTTGGATATTCTGGATAAATTACATTTAATTCAGTGAAGTTTTGATTAAATATTTTGTTTTATTTTCTGTTTTTTTTTTTAACTTTCCAATAAAAAAACTCTTTTACTAAAAGTGTGATATCATTTACAACAGACACTTAACATTATCTCAATAATTTTATAGCATTTTTGATTAATATATTATTATTCATTTCCATTTAAAATGGAAATATTTGTATTTTAATAAAATTTTGAACAAAACAAAAAAAAAATTACTATCAAACTATTTCAGTTTTTAAATAATGCTTTTTTAATCAATCCTGTATTAAAATTGGTTTTAAAAATGTATACAAACTTTTTTTCTCTATAGAGATTCATACCAGAATGTTAATATTAAAAAATTTGAAGAGAGAACCCTTAATAAAAAGGTTTGTATTTTTATTTAAATGTAAATTATCTGATACAAAAATCTCAATTTCTTTTATCAATTTTATCTTAAAAATTAATTAATACTTTTTAACAGTTTTTACTCTTCATTACAACTTAATTTATTAGAAATTATATTTTTCACAAAAATACACGTAATTATTTTGCTTAATCTTTTAAAATTTAATTCTTTAAGTAAGATGACTAATTTTTAAGTGACAAAAATATTTATTTTATAATGTCATTTTTAGACGAATTAAAATCAAGTGAAAACTATAATAGAAAAGCATTAAGACAAAAAGTTTGTAACATATATAGATTGAGAGTTTGAGATTTTTTGCTCAATCTCACCACGATTTTCTCTAACCTTGTTGATGTTATTTTTTGATATAGTTAAGTAGTTAAAACTCAATATATACATAAATAAATGTATACATACATACAAACATATATATATATATATATATATATATATATATATATATATATATATATATATATATATATATATATATATATATATATATATATATATATATATATAATGCACACATTTTGTTTCATTAGGATGAATACTTTCAGCTCATTACAGTTGAAGAGGCAGAGAAAATTCTTTTTGAAAAGGTACCAACAAGAATTAGTTTGAACATAAAATTATATAGTAAAAAAACTATTTATATATAATCTTTATTGATCTTATATATCAGTACTAAATTTAAAAAGTTAAGTAAACAAAAAGATTTCTTAAAGACAAAAAGATTTCTTAAAAATATTTATATTTTTTTATTTATTCTTTTTGGTATTTAAAGTATAAAAAATATATATTAAACTAAAAATCAAGTAAATATACACTTAAGTTAATCTTTTAAAATTAGTTAAATAATATATAATTTAAAATTTGTAATTTAAAAATTATTTTTATTAAATATTTAGCCAGAAAAAGATGAAATTGAAGAACCTTTTAAAGAGTCATCTGTAAAGCAAATTTTTATATAAAATCATTTACAAATAAAAAGTTTTTATATTAAAAACTAAATTACTTTTTATAACAATTCTATTTAGTATTTTCAACCATGGGGTGGAGGTACTTTTAAATCACAACGAAAATTGTTAAGTTTGCAGGTATTTTAAGCAAATTTTTTAAATTTTAAGATTATTGTAATAATTCATTGTGTAATTACAAAAATTGTCAACAAAAATTTTTTTGTTTTTACCCCTATAATTTTTTTGCTGATATAAACAAAGCTTGTTAAGAAGATTACAAATTCGAAAACAGAATTATTCTATCACATACTGTTTTCTTCATAAGATTTAATAATGTTTTAATGGTGTTTTTTCTAATAAGAATGCTTGGTAATCAGTATATAATGCTGTTTTTTCTTTTTGATAACTAAAAAAGTTTAATTTTAAGTCAAGCTTGAGCTAAACATCTGGATAATTTTGATACATTTGGAAAGTTCACTTAAAAGGATCAAAAAAAGAACTTAGCCAAGAGACTCAAAGCTGCATATTAAAGTTACATAGGCATCAAACTTGGTGACTAGGACTAAAGTTAAATGCTAAACAACATGTTATTCTTGGCTAACACTATGGCTAAAAGAAAAGTTTAATTCTTTTCTATACACACATGGTGTGGAGTAAACCATCAAGTCATGTATCCAATTGATACAGAAGAGGTAAGAATCCATGCAATACACAAAAGTAGTAAGTTACAACAAAAATGATTGGAATATTTATGAAAAAAATAGATTACACTTCTTCTGGAAATGCACACGAGATAAATGTGTTTCTTATGCATTTAGAACATTAGTGATACAAAAGCTAACCATGAAAAAAAAGGAATGGCCTCTTTAAATGAAGACTGTTGTAGGCAAGCACAATTTGAAAAGAAAACATCAATCCCTTGTGGAGCAACTAAAGATCTATCTGTCACCTATTCACATTAAACGGGAACTAATAAAGAACTAGGGGAAGGCTTGAGACTAATGATTAAACAGTAATCTCTTTTTTATTTTCTTTCTTCTTTTGTTTCTTTTTCATTATTTGGTATCTTTATATCTTTTTCTCTGATGTGAAAGGAATATTCTGAATTCAGTTTTGGAATCGGCAGGACAAAATAATACAAATAACAAATATTTGTATCTCAGTTAATTGATACTTATTGACCAAGGTTATCATTATTTGATGATTCATTTATTAAACTATATCTATAAAAATATTTTAAAATTTAGGAAAAAAAAGATGGATTTCAAGAAAAAAACAAATCAAAAGAATCATCTGTAAGGCATTTTATATTACTACAAATCTATTAACATTAAAATAAAAAAAGTAACAGTACTAACAATAAAAAAAGTAACATTATTAACAATACAAAAAAACAACCCACATATTTCAAATTTGTCAACATAAAAAAAAATTAATTACCATTTAGCAAGAATTAGAAGGATTTCAAAATAAAGAACTATTCAATGAGTCACCTGTAAGGCATTTTTTATCAATTCAAAACTTATTTAAAAATAAAAATGAAATAAACTGTTTTAAATAATTAAAAAAAAAAAAAAAACATTTTTTTAACACCTTTCAAACATGACACTATGGAATAATATTCTCAATTATGCATTTTATCATCATGATTCCTTGCTTTGCAAAAAAATTTTATTTTTTTATCTGCTACTTTTTAACAGCACTTCTTTATATTTTGTAACTGATTTCTGCTCTGTTATAATAACATGCATTTAAAATTAAATTTGTAAGTATCTATAAAAATAAACTATTTTTTAATATTAATTTTGAAATGTTTTCTAACTGCAAGATATTATTTACAAATAAAAAAATGTGATCAAATATGTTTAATAACAACTCATTTAACATTTAGCAAGAAAAAGAAGGATTTCAAAACAAAGAACTTTTCGATCAACCATCGGTAAGGCAATACTTTCTAACCAAAAAATATTCTATACATATTAAAAAGTTTGACCATACGCATTGATAACAACTTATTCGACATTTAGCTAGAAAAAGATGGGTTTCAAAAAAAAGAACTTTTCAAAAAATCATCTGTAAGGCATTTTTTATTAACTTAAAACTTTTAACTAATTTGAAAATAAAAACAAAATAAACTGCTTTAAATAAAATAAAAAAAATTACTTGCATATTTCAACCTAGGCATTAAGTAACTATTTCAAACAATCATGTATTTCCCACTGTAATTCTTTGTTATTCATAGTCTTTTTACTTCTTCTAAATTCTTTATCATATAATTCTAAAAAGCAATACTTTATGTTTTTAAACTAATTTCTGCTCTTTCATAACATCAAACGCTCAAAATTATATTTTATTTAAATTATATACCTTGTAAAGACAAAATAAAAGTAGAAAATAAAATATAGCAAAAATATTTGCTAAAGAATATAATATTTTTTGTCCTTAAAGAAGGGAAATAAACTTTTTAATTTGAATTTAATAGTACAATAAACTAAAGATTGAAAGGTCTGTTATGGAATGAATCTTGTGCAGACCTGCAAATTTTTAGTTTACTGAACTGTTAAGTTTAAATTTAAAAGTTTATTTTCCGCTTCTTAGTAAAAAAAAAATATATATATATATATATTTTTCAATATAATGTTTTTGCTCTATTTTACTTATTATTTCAAATCCTTTAACTTACTCAAGAATAAAAAAAGGAACTAAAACATTTTTAAATAAAAAAAAAAAGCCTTTCTTGTATTTAAACCATGGCACCATAAAAAATACTCACAATCATGCATTTCATTATCATGATTTCTTGTTTACCTAAGACCATTTTGACAAACAAATTTGACATTTAGCAAGAAAAACATGGATTTCAAAAAAAAAAAAAAAAAAAAAAAAAAAAAAAAAAAAAAAAAAAAAAAAAAAAAAAAAAAAAAAACCTTTTATCTAATTGTCTGTAAAGAATATTTTATGATCTTTTAACTTATTTGAAATGTCACGATTCCTTGCTTCCTAAGATCATTTTGTTTTTAATTGGCCACATGTTGTGAGAGCATTACTTATTTTGCTATGTTTTTATTCTAATATGTTTTCAAACTGATTCGGCTTTTTCATAACTTCACACATATAAAATCATATTTTAAGGTATCTATAAAAATAAAAAATACTAATATTAGTTAAGAAATATTTCTAACTGAAAACTATTATATACAAATAAAAAAGTTTGACCAAATGCTTTGATAACAACTTATTTGACATTTAGCAAGAAAAAGATGGGTTTCAAAAAAAAGAACTTTTCAAAGAATCATCTGTAAGGCATTTTTTTAATACCTTAAAACATTTAACTTATTTGAAAATAACAATGAAAAAAACTGTTTTAAATAAAAAACACTTATGTATTTCAACTTTGGCGTTATGTAATTACTTCAAATAATTATGCATTCCACCATTATGATTGCTTGTTATTACGAGGCTTTTATTCATTGCTGTTCTTCATCACATACTCTTAAAAAAATTATTTTATGTTTTTGAACCAAATCCTGCTCTTCCACAACTACACAAAATTAAACTATTTTATTTAACATTTAGCAAGAAAAAGATCGATTTCAAAAAAAGCAACTTTTCAAAGAATTATCTGTATGTCATTTTTTATATCCTTAAATTCTTTAACTTATTTAAAAAAAAAAATAATAATAATAAAAAAAATAAATTGATATTCAATTTAAATTAAAAGGTTTATTTTCTGCTTTATAATAATAAAAAAATTTATTTACGCAAATGTTTTTGCTATATTTTATTTACAATTTCAAGTCTTTTAACTTGGTCGAAAAATAAAAAAACATTTTTAAATTAAAAAAAAGAAGCCTTTCTGTATTTTAAGCATGACACAATAATAAAAATAAAAAAACAACCAACATGCATTCCATTATCATGATTTCTTGCTTCCCTAACACCTTTTTACTTTTTATCAGATACTACTTAAGAGCATTTCGTTACTTTTTTGAACTGATTTCTGCACTTCTATAATTACTCAAGTTTGAAATTATATTTGTCTTATATAAAAAAAGTACTTTTATTTAATTTAAATGTATATTTTAATATTAATTTCGAAATGTTTTTTAAAATATTATTAACAAACAAAAAATTTTGAACAAATAGATTTATTAACAACTCATTTACCATTTAGCAAGAATTAGAAGGATTTCAAAATAAAGAACTATTCAATGAGTCACCTGTAAGGCATTTTTTATCAATTCAAAACTTATTTAAAAATAAAAATGAAATAAACTGTTTTAAATAATTAAAAAAAAAAAAAAACATTTTTTTAACACCTTTCAAACATGACACTATGGAATAATATTCTCAATTATGCATTTTATCATCATGATTCCTTGCTTTGCAAAAAAATTTTATTTTTTATCTGCTACTTTTTAACAGCACTTCTTTATATTTTGTAACTGATTTCTGCTCTGTTATAATAACATGCATTTAAAATTAAATTTGTAGGTATCTATAAAAATAAACTATTTTTTAATATTAATTTTGAAATGTTTTCTAACTGCAAGATATTATTTACAAATAAAAAAATGTGATCAAATATGTTTAATAACAACTCATTTAACATTTAGCAAGAAAAAGAAGGATTTCAAAACAAAGAACTTTTCGATCAACCATCGGTAAGGCAATACTTTCTAACCAAAAAATATTCTATACATATTAAAAAGTTTGACCATACGCATTGATAACAACTTATTTGACATTTAGCTAGAAAAAGATGGATTTCAAAAAAAAGAACTTTTCAAAAAATCATCTGTAAGGCATTTTTTATTAACTTAAAACTTTTAACTAATTTGAAAATAAAAACAAAATAAACTGCTTTAAATAAAATAAAAAAAATTACTTGCATATTTCAACCTTGGCATTAAGTAACTATTTCAAACAATCATGCATTTCCCACTGTAATTCTTTGTTATTCAGAGTCTTTTTACTTCTTCTAAATTCTTTATCATATAATTCTAAAAAGCAATACTTTATGTTTTTAAACTAATTTCTGCTCTTTCATAACATCAAACGCTCAAAATTATATTTTATTTAAATTATATACATTGTAAAGACAAAATAAAAGTAGAAAATAAAATATAGCAAAAATATTTGCTAAAAAATATAATATTTTTTGTCCTTAAAGAAGGGAAATAAACTTTTTAATTTGAATTTAATAGTACAATAAACTAAAGATTGAAAGGTCTGTTATGGAATGAATCTTGTGCAGACCTGCAAATTTTTAGTTTACTGAACTGTTAAGTTTAAATTTAAAAGTTTATTTTCCGCTTCTTAGTAAAAAAAAAAAAAAAAATATATATATATATTTTTCAATATAATGTTTTTGCTCTATTTTACTTATTATTTCAAATCCTTTAACTTACTCAAGAATAAAAAAAGGAACTAAAATATTTTTAAATAAAAAAAAAAAGCCCTTCTTGTATTTAAACCATGCTATCTAAAAAATAAACTATTTTTTAATATTAATTTTGAAATGTTTTCTAACTGCAAAATATTATTTACAAATAAAAAAATGTGATCAAATATGTTTAATAACAACTCATTTAACATTTAGCAAGAAAAAGAAGGATTTCAAAACAAAGAACTTTTCGATCAACCATCGGTAAGGCAATACTTTCTAACCAAAAAATATTCTATACATATTAAAAAGTTTGACCATACGCATTGATAACAACTTATTTGGCATTTAGCAAGAAAAAGATGGGTTTCAAAAAAAAGAACTTTTCAAAGAATCATCTGTAAGGCATTTTTTATTAACTTAAAACTTTTAACTAATTTGAAAATAAAAACAAAATAAACTGTTTTAAATAAAATAAAAAAAATTACTTGCATATTTCAACCTTGGCATTAAGTAACTATTTCAAACAATCATGCATTTCCCACTGTAATTCTTTGTTATTCAGAGTCTTTTTACTTCTTCTAAGTTAAAAGAAATCAGTACTAAATCACAAAGCAGATCATAAAATTGTGTTTACGACTTTTTTTACCAACATAATAGTAAACAATTCAAATAAACTAATTTTACAAACAAAATATCAAGACTATAAATAAATTAAAAAACAAGTTAGACAAAGGTTATTTCAGAAACAATTCAAATGCTATTATAATTGCAACTTAATACAGTATTTTTTTTATTTTAATAAATCCATAACTATAACCTTGCATTATTTATTACTATTATTATTATTTAGCAAGAAAAAGATGCATTTCAAAATAAAGAACATTTAAAAAAATCACCTGTAAGTAATTTTTTATAACCTTAAATCTTTTAACTTATTTGAAACATTTTAATTTATTTTTGTATTTTTATTATATATGCCAACCCTATAATATATATATATATATATATATATATATATATATATATATATATATATAATATATATATATATATATATATATATATATATATATTTTATACAAATATATATTTTATATATATATATATATATATATATATATATATATATATATATATATATATATATATATATATATATATATATATATATATATATATATATATATAGATTAAGGTAAAAACTAATATACACAATAATTAAAATGCTTAGAAAACCTTATCACAACAATACCACACTAAAATTGATGTTATAGAAGAAGATAATGTTAACAAGGTAAATTTTATTTTGTGTATTCTTGTTTTAAAAATTTTATGTTTTAAAACACTACTGTGTGAATGTGTACACACACACACACACACACACACACACACACACACACACACACACATTCATAAACATTATTTATTAGATTTATATTTTATTATTTTTAGAGTTCTTCAAAACAATTGCACACTAAAATCAAGGTTTTAAAAGGAGAAATGAACAAAAACAAAAAAATGTATGCAAATTAATTTTAAAAACGTATACTGGTGTATATATATATATATATATATACATATATATATATATATATATATATATATATATATATATATATATATATATACATATATTTTATGAATGTATATATATATATATATATATATATATATATATATATATATATATATATATATATATACATATATACATATATTTTATGAATGTATATATATATATATATATATATATATATATATATACATATATTTTATGAATGTATATATATATATATATATATATATATATATATATATATATATATATATATATATATATATATATATATATATATATATATATATATATATATATATATATTTATATATATATATATATATATATATATATATATATATATATATATATATATATATATTTAGTCTTGCATGGTAGATTTTTCCATTAATTGTTGTTTTTAATCAAACGCTAATAAACCAGACCAAAAAATAATAAATAATTCCAATCATAATTATTGCGGTTTTTAAAAAATTGATAAAACTTAATGTACTTCTTCATTTATTTAATTGTTTTAACTTTTAAATGACATCAAAATGTCGTTTAATTGTTGATGTCTTTTAAATGTTAAAAAAAAAAAGTGTTAAAAGAGACTTTTTTTTTAAACAATTAAAGTCTCTTTCGACTACAATTTAAGTATATATATATATATATATATATATATATATATATATATATATATATATATATATATATATATATATATATATATATATATGAGATTTTTTTTCTGATCATGTTTTTATGTTATTATGAAACCTTTTTGTTAAAAATTTTTTGCTGACCAAAAATAAACCTTAAACACTTTTTTAATGTTTGTGATTGACTGTTTTTTAAAAAAAAAAATTATTTTTCTTATAACTATATTTAAAAGTTATTAGTTTAAACTACCAGTATAAATTCTTCTGATAAATTTATTTAAAATTAAATCTTTGTTTAACCAAATTTTATAAACAAACTTAATTAAAAAAAACAACAACAACAGAGAAACGTAGAACTGTATAAAATAATAGTTTTTTTTATAAATATTAATTATTAGTTTTATATTAATAATTCAAAATTTTTTTCTAAATAAAATTTAAAATAAAATCTCTATTACGCAAATTATCAAAAATTATCAAAAATTATTATTATATTCAAAATTATTCTAAAAAAGAAGGAACTTTTTAATTACTGTAAGATAACATTTTGTATTTTCTATAGGAGAATTAACATTAAAAAAAATTATACATTAATATTTTGATTGGTTCTTTTGCTTGAATAAACATATTACTTTAATATGACTATTTTTAAAGTTTCAAATATCATGAAACCATTTTATTATTACTTTGAAATTTTGAGATAAAGTTATCAAGGAATTACTTTAGTAACTAATGAAAATTACTGTATATTTGTTTCAAGTTTCAACTAGAAACAACATAAAAACAGTTTTAAAAGTATTGAACTCATTTTTATTTGTTTATTATTTAAAATCATGAAACTTGTTTTGAATTTTGTATTCATAAATATAGTTTATACATTTATGAATACAAAAGTTTTCATTGTATATACAAGGTCAACCTATGCCAATTATATATAAACTTTATTTTTACAGAAATCAATCAAAAACGATTTATAAATGTCCTTTTCCGTGGTGCCAAAAAGAGGTTTTTGAACTTAGAAAGCACTTTCTTACAAAACGACACAATTTGCCTAAATCATTAGCAAGTAAGGCAGTATCAGTTTTAGATCTGCGTAAAAAAAAAGAAAAAAAAAGAAGTATTTTATCTAATTTACAAATTGACAAGCCTGAGAATAGTGAAGTATCTAACATTGAAGAAGACAATAGTAAAAGAACTGGCACACTTGATAAAAAAAAGTACTGCCCTCTCGAAAACTGCATGGCAGTCATTAAAAGAGTTGATGATCACTTGAAAAATGTTCATAAAATTTACCCTGATGATGATAGGTGGAAAACACTAAATAGTACAGCCATGATATATGAGCGATCAGCAGTAAAATTTTTTGATAGATCCCCAATTAAAAACCTGTTGATTGACAAAAATGATACAAAAAAAACTTATATCAAAAAGATTTCAGAAGATAAAGTTGTCAATATTTACAAAAATGAAGATGATATTATTAAAAATATTAGTGAAGAAGATAGTGATAACATTATTGAAACTGATGAACAAAGTTACAATGAAAGTGGTAGTGACGATCAGTATTTACCTGAAATGAAAGAAAGTGTTGATTTAGAATCAGAATTTGGGGAGTCAGTGACCAATATATTAAATCTTTTTTTAAACTACCTTGTTGGCCCAGATTGCAATCGCAATGTATCATCATGCAAGAAGACTGTTAGTGATGTCAAGCGGATGCTTGTTTTCATTGGAGGCACATATGACATAACCAAAATGTTTACTCCTAATATTTTAAGAGACAAATACCTAAATGAAATTTTCCATCTAGATCCAGGATCCAAAAAAAAATATCTTTTTTCAATAATTAATTTATGCAACTTTTTTTTAACTGATGAAATTGCAAAAAAATTGATCGATAGTGTAACAATTGATAGAGTTGTAACAACCAAAAATAAATTAATTGACTGGCGAAGAAATTATAATCGTCAAGACAGAAAAAACTTTTGGACTCGCCAGGAACGAAATCACAATTCATTGGTTACAAAAGAAGAAATCAGTCTCTATATGAACTCCAAGAGTGCAAATCTTGCAAATACTCTGTTTTTATTTTTTGAAGAAAATCAGCGTTTAGTAACCCAAACAGAGTATATTAGTATGAGGGACCATCTCTTTGTAATTATTCATTTTTCTAATGCTCACCGTTCTGGTGTCTCTGCTAATGTCACAATTAAGGAATTCGAGAAAGCAGTTGTTGTTGATGAAAAATACATAATATCTGTGAAAAATCATAAAACTTTTGAAAAATATGGACATGCAAATATATCTTTTACAAAAGATGAATTTCAATGGTTACATACATTTGTGTACAAAATTAGAACTCAAATAAAAACGTTCAAAACAATTGAAAACATTTTCTTAAGTTGGACTGGCCTTCCAATGGACTCAGGTGCAATAAGTACCCAGCTTGCTTCCTTATGGAAAAAAGCTGGCATATCACGAGAATTAGGAGAAAAAAGAAGACTTTGTGCAACAGTTGTGCGCCAAACAGCAGTTACAGGCATACGACAAGGCGATGCAACTAATAAACAAAAGCAGCAAGTAGCTGACTTAATGGGACATTCAGTTGTTACAGCTGATAAACATTATCACCTAAGAGCACAAAAAGAAACGGCAGGTGAAAGCAGCAACACTATTCGAAAGGTACAGAATTTTCTAAATACATGTCTTAATATATTTTTAAGCATACAGCAAAAGATATCTTAACCTTTCTACATGCAAAAGCACACTACAAAATGACAAAAAAATGGCCAGCACATAAAAACAAATAAAAATCCACATTTTACATTTTGCTTACCTTCATATTAAGTAAAATCAATTTACAAAAATAAGCTAAATGAACTACATTTTTATCTAGCAATGGTAATACTTATTTAAAAAGCCAACTAACTATACTAAAAAATTATTATTATTATTATTATTATTATATAAAAAAAAATTAATTTTAAAATTAACTAAAAGTAAAAGAATTGCAATTTACCTTTTAATACTTTCAGAAGAAAAAAAAATTCATGGTAAAACTCTTTTTAAAAGTATAAGAACTATATATGAAATTTCATGCGGTGACAAAAAAACTTATATCATTATTACCTAATTATCAAAAAAATAATAACTAATTTTAAAATTAATAAATTATACAACTGTTGAATTTAAATAGAGACTGAACATCACTTAAAATGGCAAGTTAAACAAAACAAGATATAATGGTACCTACAACAACAGGCTTAATTCATTTGAACATTATCATATCTTAAATATAAATAATTCACATAACATTTTGATAAAATTTATACATATTTTTATTGATTTTAGGCATTTGGTTTTCAAAATGTCTTTGAAAATCCATCATCACCAAGTCCTTCTAAAAAACGATGTAAATGGTTAAAATCAGATATAAACAAGATATCTGAATCTTTTTGTGAGGAAATATCTGATGGAACAGTAAAATTTAAAAGTGTATTAGAAAAATACGAGGACTTAGGCATTGATACCACTCCTAAAAAGTTATACAACAAAGTAAACTCTTTAATCCGTAAAACAACAGTAGAAAAGGTAAAGTCAAAAGATTTAATTATTTTTGTAACATATTAATATTATATTAATATTATGTATATATATATATATATATATATATATATATATATATATGATCATTATTATTATTAATTTATTTTTATAATTTAATTATAGTGTTAAACTCGTGATTCGAATGTCAATCAATAACTAAAATAAAAATGCTTTATTTGCCTTTGAATTAATTAATTATATATTGCTGACCTTCGAATTTTTGCTTCACTTGAAAAAACCCAAAACAATTCACTCTAGAGAATTAATGCCTAATATCACCATAAGTATTCTTTCTTTTTTTAAATAATGAATTGCACACATCTTATTTGATCAAAAAGAAATTTTCTGTCAGTATTTCTAATATTAAAGTCATTTGAAATAACCAGGGATGCAAAGTTCAAAAAAAATTCCGGTTTTACATCTCCATTTTTTACAGGTCTGCAGTGTCTAGAAGCTCTAAACATGTTTGTTGACTTATTCTGCAATAAGAAATTAATTTATGAGATGTAATGACTTAGAACTTTTTATTTTGAGGCCTGGAGTGTTAAATTTCCAGGGTCCTTGCCACCATTACACCTTAGGATTCCGGGTTAAATAAAATTTTTCCTCCTACCTAATAGTCTCTTTTTTTTTCCTATTAGTTTTCCATAAACTTTTTTATTTTTAAATTCCTGAATACTAAAAACTAGGAAGAAAAATCTTTTTGTAACATTTACATCCTGAGTAACCTAATGGAATTGTAAAGTTATACAAATTTTAAAAGACATCATTAAAGAGTTTAAATATAATTAAAATAAAACTTCTATTATGGATGTAACTCTTTATTTGAAATTAATTTTCATACAATATTTTAAGAGATCATAGCTACCCTTGTTGTCAAGTATATATATATATATATATATATATATATATATATATATATATATATATATATACATATATATATATATATATATATATATATATATATATATATATATATATATATATATATATATATATATATATTTATATATATATATACATATATATATATATATATACATATATATATATATATATATATATATATATATATATATATATATATATATATATATATATACATATATATATATATATATATATATATATATATATATATATATATATATATATATATATATATATATATATATATATATATATATATATATATATATATATATATATATTAGGGTGCATCAAAGCCCCATACTTTCAAAAATTGATCTGTCCATATTCTTAAAACTTTCTATCACTAATCACAAGACACTGTTAAATTTTTTCAAAATTGAATGAGATTTAGGGGGGCCACCTCAAATCTGAAACTTGCAACGAGACCCTAAACAGAAGGAAAAAAAGTTTTTCAAATGTATGCCATGTTGGGTCTCAAAAAAAGCGAAATTTTATAAAAAAATTTCAAAAACAAAAAAATTTTACATAATATTTATTATTATAAGTTTTATTGCATAAAAATTATTTTTTTTCAAAAAATTAAAAAAAGCCATTTTTTCATGGTTTTTAATCGAAATTTTTTTTCAAGGTATTTTTAACAAAAAATCATAACTATTTTTGAAATTTTTATAAAGTTTCGCTTCTTTTGAGACCCATAATGACATACATTTGAAAAACTTTTTTTTCTTCTGTTTAGGTTTATTCTTCTGTTCTTCTGTTTTTTAATTTTGCTTTACCGATATAACATTTTTTGCAGGAGCGTTCAAGTCTGTAAATTTTTTGGAAAATTAAAGACTGGTGTTTAACCTGCTTTTTTGAAAACTTTTTTTAACTTCGGGCTAATTCCTGGAATCCATGGTAAAGATACAATATTATTTGATGGAATTAATGAATGTTGACTTTCAATATTTTGTTTTTTATTCTGTAAATTTTCTTTAGTGGTTTTTATAATATTTTCCAGGCTTGTTTTTTTATAACCATTTTCTACAAAAACATAAACTAGAAATAATAACTCTTGTTCAATATTATTATTAGAGCATAAATATAATGCCCTATGAACAAAACCTTTGAAAACTCTGTTTATAATTTTTGGATCATGGCATGAGTTAGGTTTGATTTGGATATTAGTTATGGCATCTTTATCGTAAACTTTAAAATCGTATGTACCAGTTTTATTGTTAACAATAGTAATGTCAAGAAAGTTTAGCGCGTTATTTTGATTTTCGATTTCCATGGTGTATTAAATATTTTTATGTTGGTTAATAAGTAATTAACTATTAAAGATGCGAAAATTTTTTTTCGCATCTTCAATAGAGTTAAAACGAGAATGGGAGTCATCAACATATCTTTTAAATGACTTTAATTGAATATAATTGGAAATCGCTTGTGCAATAGCATTACTTTTGTGAAACTGTAAAAAACACTCTGCAACTACTACCATAAGTCCTAAACCATTAGGTCCAGAATCTTCTAGTTCATAAATGTTGTGTTCAAATAAAAAATAACAATGCAAAAGCACATATCTAAAAGTGCTTTTATTTCATCAAAGGTAAATTTTGATGTAAAACTAGGATCATTTTTCAACCTCTCAATAATGATAATTATCGCTTCCTTTACTGAGACTAAAGGATATAAATTAGTGACATTATAAAACACTTGGATTTCATCTTTGTCAATATTCCGTGAATTAGCTAAGTTAACAAGCTGTTGAGAGTTAATTAAATGTGTATTGTTCTTATTGAGGACAGGTTGTATCATATCAGTTAAGAATTTAGAAATTTTAAATGTAGCCGTTCAAATAGTGCTTACTATAACTCAAATCAGGTAGTTTTTTTCAGGTTTGTGGGTTTTTATGACTCCATACAAACGAGGTGGTTACAAACGAGCATCACTTGGGTAAAGATCTTTATACTCTTTAACCATAAATCGAGCTGCTTTATTTAGTTTTCTGAGCGTGTTTTGAAGTTATTACATAATAAAAAAAAAAATATCAAAACTCAACATTTATCAATTACATCAAATAATATTGTATCTTTACCGTGGATTCCAGGAATTTACCTGAGTTAAAAAGATAATTTCAAAAAAGCAGGTTATACACCAGTCTTTAAATCTCCAAAAAAATACAACATATACTTACCACAAAAAACAAACCTGCTCTTAATATAAATTCCTACCCAGCTGTGTACAAACTTGAATGCTCCTGCAAAAAATGTTATATCAGTGTAACAAAATTAAAAATCTCATCTTGCAATTACCAACATCAAAAAAATACATTCAAAGGAAAATGGGATTATTCAGCCATAACAGAGAATTCAAAAAATTGTCATGGCAAGGAACAATAAAAATACTTTAAAAGTAGAGGTTAATAATCTTACCAGAAAAGTGAGGGAAGCCCTTGAAATACAACGCCATGAATGTTAACCTTCAGACGGCGGTCTAAATCAGGATGACAGAGGTTACGTCAGAACTTCGTTTTGAAAACCTATGTTTCAGAATTTAAATAAAAAGAAACTATTGCATTAATTTGTTTTTGTTTTTATTTTGTTTTAAACGGTTTCTTTATATATATATATATATATATATATATATATATATATATATATATATATATATATATATATATATATATATATATATATATATATATATATATATATATATATATATATATATATATATATATATATACTTAACAACGAGGGAAGCTATAATCATTTCAAAAATTGTTTGAAAACTAATTTCAAATAAAGAGTTACATCCATAATAGAAGTTTTATTTTAATTAGAGTTAAACAAATTTTACTTTTAATATATGCTTTTTTGATATCAGATTGTGATTTCAGAACATTCTGTAAAAAAAACAACAGTGCGCTATAAAACTGTACTTACTTTTTGCAATAAAGTTATAATTACTTTTCAAAAAAATCTGTCAAATATTTTAAGAATAGACAAAAACTATATTAACTTATACAAAATTATTAGAATATACAATATTGAAAAAGATGCTATTAAGAATATACGAAAATAGTTTTTTTTTTTTAATTTTAATTAAGTGATAAATCAACTATATATAAAAATTTTAAATCTTCTATTTTTAAATCTTATCAAATTAAGTAAAGGTAATTTATATAAAAGTTGTTGCATGAACTACATTTTCACCTTAACTTATACAAGTAAAAAAAAAATAAAATAAAAATGCATTATTGAAGAATATGGTAAAAAGAATATCTGAATATTTTTTTTTTTTTAATTTTTTTTTTTGTTTTTTAAATAAATGATAAATCAACTATATATAAAAATTTTAATACAAAAACATGAAATCTTATACTTATGCCAATGTTTCTTTAGTCCTTCACACCACAAAGACAAGTTGCGTTTTGTAAAGATGATATTATTTTACTACACAAAAGCAGCCTCATCGATAGAGGAAAATTATCTAAAGAAATTATCGTTGATTCTTTTCAAGGAACAAAGTTGATGGAAAAATTTTCTTGGGAGCAACTAAGAACAAGAATTAATTATGAACGCTCAAAAATAAAAAAAGAAAAACAGATGAACGATTCGAAAAAATCTTCTGAACACCAAGAGTCAATACAATAAAGTTTAAACATAGAAACTTCCTTTAAACATTTTCTTTTAGTGACATTATTACTCAACTGCTGGTCCACAAATCTCTTTGTTATTTTTGAAGTAGACTTTAATATATTTTCTTTAATATATTTTAAGTAATTTTGTAAGTAATGAAAACATGACATTGTTGCAATTAAAGTGTATTTAAAAAAACAAAACTTTAATAGTCCATAGCTTTATGAACTTAGTTGTTTTTTAAAAAAATTTTATTTGGTTTAATTATAAAATATCATTGAGATAGTTATTTCAAAAAAGATTACTAGCTAACAACCTTCTAATTTTTTATAAGCCATATAAAGATCATTATTTTAGATGTTTTTATTAAACATCGTTAGGGATAGTGCAAAACCGCACAAAAACTAGCATCGGATAATACAGCGTATCTGCACTACAGATTTTTTACTGGAGAAAGTTAAAACTATATCTTTTTTTATTTCAACAGACTTTGGGTTCATTTTAATATAAAGAGAATTATTCATAATTTTCATAATGTCAACAATATATATTTGGTATAAAAATGATTAATATTTAATTATAGTAGCAAATGCGAGTTAAGCGGTTTTGCACTATCCCCAATGATATATTATATTTTAATTATTAAACAATACAACTTTCTTTGAAACCCAGGTTGACATACTTGTGAAGAAATGTTTTTTTTTTTAAATTAGTATTAGAGAACTGTCAAATGTTCAGAGGCGTTCAAAATAATTTTTATAAGCAAATTCAAGGCAAACGGTTGTTGTTTTTTTTAATAAAAAAAGCAACAACCATTACTTCAAAGATTTTTTTCTGCAGTTTTTTAGAGATATAGTGATTGTTGCTAAAAATTCTAAACATATTCGCTTCATTTTGTCAACCTGGATTGAAATAACATTGAAAAAATAATTTTTATAATAATATTAGAGAGCCATTTAATTTGTTTAAGGACCATATTTCCCTTCTAAAAAGATTTTTTGGAAACTAATTTCTTTAAATTAGTGTAGTTTTATACAAAACCATTTTAACACAACGCAAACAAATGTGAGTGGAATTTATAAAACATATAAAGATGTAGAATAAATTCTGGATAAAAAAAAAAAAAAAAAAAAGCTTTTTGTTAAGGTATTATAAAAATTTTTATTTAGACTAGTTTTCTAATGGACTCAGGTAAAATTAAAAAAAAAAGTGGGAAAAGAAAAATATCGGAAACAGTTATGAGTCAAATTGCAGTTACTGGGATTAGAAAAAGCTACGAGACTAATATACAAAAGCAGCAAGTAAATGACATAATGGTACATTCGCAACATACTGATATACATTACTATTTAAAAGCACAAAAAGAAACTGCTGGTGAAAGCAGAAATCCTACTTGTATGGTATACAGTTTAAATACATTTTTTTAAATACATATCTTAAGATATTTTTCAATGTGACGGTAAGAATTTTTTAACCTTTTCATACACTAAAGCGACCTACAAAATATCAATAATAGTAATTTTTTTTCTAAGCATTTCTAAGTTGTAAAATAAAATGGCACTGATTTTTGTTTACATTACATACAAAGAAAAGCATTTAAGATCAAAAATCAAAAATGTTAATTTAGAATATCTTTGTTTTTTTTTTAATTTTTGTTCAAGTTAAGATTATGTGAAGTTAACTTGATGAAGAGTTGCTAAATAAAAAACATTTTTACCTGACAACGATACTCTTTTAAAGACCTGAAATTATTCAGGAAATTTCATGAGAAGGCTCATAAACTAAAATAAAAAATAAAAAAATACATCTATACAAAAATACAACTATATTTAAAAAAATATAATAATTTATATAATATTCAATTTAATATTCAATTTTAAAATTATTGAGTTTAATAACTAGCAGAACACCACAAGGTAAGGTTACTTTTCATATTACATTATTGTAAACAGATGTAAAATTCACATATAATTTCAAAAAAACTTATATTTTTAACTAAATTTAGGCAATCCGTTTTAAAAATATTTGCAAAAGCCCACCATCATTAAGTCCTTCAGAAGCAATAAGTTCTTTAGGTGAGAAAAAAAAAAAGACTTTGCTTAACAGATGTATGCCAAACAGCAGCGACACATATAAGTCAAGGCAATACAAAAAACCAGGAAGTATATGAGATGATGAAACACCAACTTATAACAGCTGATAAACATTACAACCAACAAACACAAAAAGAAACTGCTGATGAAAGCAGCAACACTATTCGAAAAGTTTTATAATATGTAGCAGAGCATTTCTCTAACCCTCTATACGTCAAAGTACGCTACAAAATATCAATAGTAGTAACTCTTTTGCTAAGTATATTTGCAGTTGAAAAATGAAAAAAAAATCATACTGATTTCTGTTTATATAATATACAAAAAAAAAAACAAAAAAAAAAAAACATTAGTAATCTAGAATAAAAAAAGACAACAAAGAGTATCTATTTTTAAATCTTATCAAATTAAGTAAAGTTAATTTATATAAAAGTTGTTGCATGAACTACATTTTCACCTTAACTTATACAAGTAAAAAAAAAATAAAATAAAAATGCATTATTGAAGAATATGGTAAAAAGAATATCTGAATATTTTTTTTTTTTTAATTTTTTTTTTTGTTTTTTAAATAAATGATAAATCAACTATATATAAAAATTTTAATACAAAAACATGAAATCTTATACTTATGCCAATGTTTCTTTAGTCCTTCACACCACAAAGACAAGTTGCGTTTTGTAAAGATGATATTATTTTACTACACAAAAGCAGCCTCATCGATAGAGGAAAATTATCTAAAGAAATTATCGTTGATTCTTTTCAAGGAACAAAGTTGATGGAAAAATTTTCTTGGGAGCAACTAAGAACAAGAATTAATTATGAACGCTCAAAAATAAAAAAAGAAAAACAGATGAACGATTCGAAAAAATCTTCTGAACACCAAGAGTCAATACAATAAAGTTTAAACATAGAAACTTCCTTTAAACATTTTCTTTTAGTGACATTATTACTCAACTGCTGGTCCACAAATCTCTTTGTTATTTTTGAAGTAGACTTTAATATATTTTCTTTAATATATTTTAAGTAATTTTGTAAGTAATGAAAACATGACATTGTTGCAATTAAAGTGTATTTAAAAAAACAAAACTTTAATAGTCCTTAGCTTTATGAACTTAGTTGTTTTTTAAAAAAATTTTATTTGGTTTAATTATAAAATATCATTGAGATAAATCTTTATGTTATTTTTTAGGTAGACATGTTAAATGTAAACATGACATGTTGTTATTATAAAATAATCAAATAATTGAATGTTGTTAAATTTCATGCAATTGAATAATAATTTTTATATTAAAATGAACCTAAAATTTGTTGAAATAAAAAAAATATATTAAGTTTAAACCTTTTAATCTAAGTAAAAAGTCTGTAGTGCAGATGTGTGGTATTATGCAGATTTGTGGACGGTGTTTATTTAAAACTTCTTAAAACAAACTTCTATACTTATAATCAATTACTTGCAACTACTAGTTATTATTACATTTGGTTTTTAAAACATATTCAACCCATGGTCCCTTTTAAAACTATTTGAATGGTTAACAACACATATAAAAAAATATCTGCAGGCCTTGTTATGAGATTTCATCACATAACAGAAAAGCGTAACGCAAGTAAATGTTACTTTTTAATGAACTCTATATACATATTTTTATTGTCAAAATACAAACTACGTCAGTTGCGTATTTTAAAGAACTGATTTGTTATTAAATTTGAAACTAAGTTGAAAATTATTTAATGTCTATTTTTACAAAATATATTTAAAATATCTTTAAGTTGAACAATTTTGTTATAAAAAAATTATATAAAAGTGATCTACAATTTTCAAGACAAGCTGTGTTCATATCTTTAATATTCCTTAAAAATAGGCTTCATGTTAAATAAATTTTTTGAAAACAAACTATTTATCAAGATATTAGCAAAAGACTTTATAATTTTTGACACTATTTTTTTTCTCTCGAAGGAAACTTTAATAATTTTTGTTCTCAAAATTTTTGTTTAATAAAGTTGAGATGTAAGAGGCTTTGTATTCTTCATATTTCAATCTCTCATTAAGTTTAATTAAGCTTAATAAGAGACTTGATTATGTGAAATTAATTAAAAATGAGAGATAGATTAATGAAAATTTACATTAAATTATCAAAATGTTTTAATGAACAGATCGAAATTTTTATAATAAAGAGATTTTTTAAATATTTTTTTATAAATTATTTTAAATATACATTTTTCAAATAACCTATTAAGACTTTATAGATCATTTAAAAAATATATACTTCTTATAAGAGATATAAATTTTGATAGTTTTACAATAATTTACAAATAACACCCCATGATAAGCTTTGTATTTTCTGCATTAAACATAGTATGGGTTTTTTAATAACATTATTGAAATTCAAATATTCAATATTTAGTGGGATCATTTAAAAAATGATCATAATATGATTACTTCAAATTTATTAAATAATAAAAAACATAGAAATAAAGGGAAAAAAAGACAACAGTGATTATCAAATAAAACATTACCTAATAACTAATCTGTTACTATTTCTAAACTTAATAAACGATCAGTAACTAGTTTTAGTCAATTTTCGACAGTGTGACGGCTTTAAATTTATGCTTTAAATGTATGCTTTTGTAATTTATGCAGACGGCTTTAAATTTATGCTTTTGTAAGGTATAAATGAAGTCCGAAAAAACGCAAATGAACTAACCCCGGACACGGAAAATTACGAAAAAACGCAATAAAATGAAATCCGGAAAAACGCAATGATCCGAAAAAACGCATTCCCAGATAAACAATTTGACGGCATTTCTGTCGATGATGTTGAAATTTAAACTACAGATCTAAAATTAGATATTCAATCATCATTATTTGATCAAATTAACAGGACAAAATCGTTAAGAGCGTTAAGTATTTTGTATGAAACCCTTTAAAGCGTTCTATATTCCATATAAAATCTATAGCTCAAGCGATTCGCGGTATTATTGAAGATATGTCCACTAATGACGCTTTACTAAAATTTGGCTAAATAGGGGCCTAATTATATACGACTTTTAAGTACTAACTACTAAGTTTAGGCAAGCAAAATCTATTTATTAAGTTTTTTTTTTTTAATTTCTATGAATATATGAATACAAGAAATGACTTGCAACTACGTATAATTAAAACTATCAATAGAAGAAATGAAATTGCAACTACGTATAATTAAAACTATCAATAGAAAGACACCTTCACTAACTAAAAAGCATAACTAAGGAGCAGAATCTTTAAGATTATTTCCTATAAAACAAAACAAGTTATCGATTAAATTAAATAAACATATGTGTTCTTTCCTTTATTTGATATTATTAAAAAAAAAAAAAGACACAAAAATGCAGATGTATATCACTCTAACTTTTTTCTACTAGTTTTTTTGTAACTGATAGAAGTGTTGTTTATGCAAGTTTCAAAACAATTAAAACTAGTTTTTTCTTATTTAACTTAAACAGCATAATTTGTACCAAGTGGGCTTGTGTTGTCCGGGAAACGTCCGTGAGACGTGTAACTTTACCTAGTGGACGTCGTCTGGATGACGCGCGTCCACTAGGTAAAGTTTGCGGAATAAATCGGAAACATGTAAATATGAAGCATATTGAGTTTTTAACAAAAACTCAGTTCCGTTATCAGAAAACCACAACTGAAAAAAATTCCGGATTAAAATGAGATTAAAGCGTAATATATCTATTGCTGGTTAAGTGTATACAACTTTGTGTACTTAGATGGCTGAGAACACGTCTACCAATGGAGATTACTCAAGCCTCCTTGCTCCGTTTAAGAGGGGTTCAAGCCTATTTAAACGCTATCATTTATGTAGTTGGCCTAGAACATAATTTTTGCGTCTACTTAGTAAGTTCTGTGTATTATGAAAACAAAAATAAAACAAAGAAAAACAAAACAAAAGATGAAAAAAAAAACATGAAAAACAAAAATAAACATAAAAACAAAAAAAATGTGTACATTTAAGGATCTGTCGTAAAAACTCCAACTTTTTTTGCCATGCAAATAATTTTTTTAAATATTACTTGAGTATATTTAAAGTGCACACAATATCACGTGACCGACGACATAGATTTCGAAGTCGAGGGGCACAATCGTCAATTTCTAAAAAGAGTCCTCTATATTTAGAATTTTCTAAAAAAAAAAAGGTCCTTTAAAAAAAAAGTTTCCAAAATGATAAAATACAAAAATTTCAATCAAATTTAAAAAAATTTTATACAAAATTTACTAAGAAAATGATTCAATATGCTTTCATAACAATGTTTTTGCTCTCCAGAAATTTGCGCACACTCAATGATTTAAGATACTACCCAGTGGGCACGGTACGTTTTTTAAATGTTCTTTAGACGCTTTTATTAGGTTTAAACCTAAAAAGAACGTCCAAAAAACGTTTTAAAAAAGCACTGTGCCCACTGAGTACAATAAAGTATTTTTTAAAACTTACTATAAAGTGTTTTTTTTAAAGTGTTTAATAAATTATATTTTATAAATACTTGATTACACAAAATTAATAAATAAATAAAAAGCTCATATATACTATTGATATAAAATCACTTATAACTAGTATTTTAGAAAAATTTTAATAAATTGAAACATCAATTGTTATATCTTTTAACTGGCGAAGACAATATCCCATCTTTTCTGAAGTTATTTTATGAAGATTTTCGTAATTATTTTTATAATATATATTTTTATAATATATTTATAACAGATTATGAAGATATTTCGTAAGTTGTTGCGAAACTATTCGTTTGCAATACTCGTTTCATAAATGCTTCTACAAAACCATCATTTTTGAGGCAGTTCACTTGCAACATCTAAAAATAAAATTGTATGCATGCATGTATCTGCGTTTGAAGAACTAGCAGAAGCATTATCAAAATCAATTCTTCTGAGTTGATTCAATTTTTAATTTTTACCGGATTTTTTAGACTTTTTTTTTTTTTTTAGATGTTTGAAATTTTTATTATTGCTAAATCTCCTGTTCCAACAAAAGGTTTGTATATTCGTAGTATATTACCAGTAACTCTAAAAACAACTTGGTTAGTTAGGCATACATAACAAAGTACAGCAACAAAGAGAAAAGATTCATTTTTTAAGTTTCAATAAAATAAAAACTAAAGCAAATTAAAAAAAGAAAAGAAAGAAAATTAAAAAAAATCTTTATGAGGTTTGTGGGATGGATAGAAACATCATAATAATTGCGCTTCTTTTCATTTTACAAATTTTAATATTCCTCAAAAATTAAGGCATTAAAAAATTTACTTTAAACAGCCGTAAAACTTCATTCAAATTTTAAAAGTTGCTTTTACAAAACTTTATAAAAGCAACTTTTTAGCGAAATGTCGGTTTCGGTTTCGGCACCAAACGAGAGTACCCAAAATATCAGTTTATTTCGGTTTCGGCTTTTTTTCTTTTTTGGTCGATCACTAGTTACCAAAGAAAAAAAACAAACTAATATATAATTACTAATTAAATAAATTTTTATTTGAATTTTTATATACAGGGGTGTGGAGTCGTAAAAAAAAATACCGACTCCAATTATGGAAATTTTTAGAGCGCGACTCCAACTCCGATTCCAAAGCAAAATTTTTAAAAAAATTCTTTGAAAAATATTACGCGATAACTTAAACTCTTTAAAGGTTTAATATGAATATAAGGTTAATTGAATATTTTGTACATGCACGTGCAATACCAAGAAGTTTTACTATTGAAGCCGGAGTCGCGTTTTGTTTAGCGACTCCTACTCCGCTAAAAATGTTACGACTCCATAACCCTGGTTTTATATGTATATAAAGGTTTGTTTCAACCTTATTTAACGGTATATTTGAAAAATCTTTGTAATTTATAAGGTTGATCACGGAAGCGAATATTGAGCTCTTAACAAAAAAAAAATAAAGTAGTTTTGAAATTCTATTTTTCTTCGGTATGTTTGAAACAATTAAAAAGTAATAATTTTTCACCAAATCTGTACCCGAGTGGTCAACATCGTAACTGCAAAATTGCTGATCAGGTTTTATCTTAACTGTCACAGGGAGACCGTCTTGTTTTAGTGGTAAAATATCGTAAGCGTTGGCATTCAGAAAGTAACTTCAAATATCAATTTTAAAAATAAAAAAAGCTGTTTCTTAACAGAAAAATAAGTATAGTTACGTAAGTATAGTCATTTGGCTGGTATTTTCGCAAAATACCATATATAACGCAAAAATATTTATCACTAATAAGAAATGTATATATATCTATATCTATATATCTATCTATCTCTCTCTCTCTCTCTCTCTCTCTCTCTCTCTCTATATATATATATATATATATATATATATATATATATATATATATATATATATATATATATATATATATATATATATATCTATATATATATCTATATATATATATATATATATATATATATATATATATATATATATATATATATATATATATATATATATATATATATATATATATATATCTATATATATATATCTCTATATATATATATCTCTATATATCTCTCTCTATATATATATATATATATATATATTATATATACACATTATCTACATACACATTATCTACATATATAATGTCATCTAAGCCTGTCAAAAATTATAGGACCTTGATAACTTAGGCTTTTTTTTAAAGTTCTTGATACATTAAAAAAAAAATTGCCTCTAGTCTATTCAATGATGAAAAGGAATGGGATTGAAACAAGTATTTTAAAAACAACATCACTTAGAACTAATTTATTTTATTCGAAACACATTATTGTAACTACAAGTAACTTTATAGGAAATTAAAACAAAATAGCATATTATATTTTGTTACTGATAAAAAAATATCAAAATAACTGATAACACTGATAAAAAATATCAAAACAAACAAAAAATAAATTTTCCAGATAAACAATTCATACTTAAGATAATTTATTTTTTAACACCATACAAACATTCAAGTCATAATAGTCAGAGCTAGGATTTAATTCTACACAATATTAATGTGCCCAATCTTTACATGTAAAGCACTGAATCCAGTCTTTATTAAAATTGTCTTTATCAATATTATACATTTGGTTTTGTTTTAAACAAACGAGTAGCATATTTTTTTTTCAATATATTTTTCGGATTTCTTTCTTTTATTGATTGAGTGAGTTTAGGAAGTTTTCCATGCTCATCAATGAGTTGCTTAATATAAGGAGAAGAGGTGAGAATTTCACTTTTTTGAGCTTTTCTTTTTCTAGAATTAATTTATTTTTGAAAAATTGTAGGAATCTGAGATAAAATATTTAAAACATCAGTAACTGCAGATTTAGTAGCTGCATTAAAAGTTAATGATTTTTTCGAAACAATTGCTGTGACATTAGATGTTGTAGAAACAAAAATGGCAATGGAGGTAGTGGCGGATTAAGACTTCTTGGGGCCTGAGGCTATTTTTGTTTATGGAGGCCTTTTAATGGGCCAGAGCCTATAAATGATTAAAAAAAAAAAAGTCCTATAAAATTTTTGGGGGCCCCTAAATTTGCAGGGCCCGGGGCTATAGTATTCCCTAGCCCCCCCAGTCCCTTGATCCGGCACTGAGTGGAGGTTACATTGATAGAATTTATAAGTCGCTGTTGAGTAATGCTATTGAGAATGTTGCTACTCATTGCTTGTGTCTCATTTATTAATTGATGTCTCATTTATTAATGGACAATTAATTGCTGATTTTCTGATAGCTTATGTACTTGCTTTGTTGTTGTTGTTGAATTGCCATCAGAATATCTGTTATTGTAGATGCTAGGTAATCAAGATCATAAACAATCTACTTGAGAAAAACAATCTACTTGAGATTAGTTAAAACCACCAGCTTAAATAACACTTGTAGATTGGAGTGTTGTTAAAATTAATTTTGGGTGTTAGTTTTAAAATCATATAGAGAAATCCTGGTATTCTATTTTTTTTTTGTTGTAACAATGCTCAATCTTCAACTCTTCAGCCAAGTCATAAACTTACCATAAAAATTCATGCTAACATCTTTATACGAGAATTTAAGCTTTTAATTTGTTCATAATGTGTACTACGTAGTATCTGTTACTTTTTAGAAGCACTTCTAATTTCTTGTCACCATATTTATTGCTTTTAAAAAATTTTCTTCACTCTAACTACCCCTCTTATACTTCTTTATTTGCTTTTTTGGCATTGCAAACTAATAAAATGAAATCTATAAACAAAACTTATTTACAATTTAATAACTGTATTATATATTAATTTAACCTTGAGACTTTTGTTAGTAATTACGTAATATTTATTTTGTTAAATAATAACATATATATATATATATATATATATATATATATATATATATATATATATATATATATATATATATATATATATATATATATATATATATATATATATATATATATATGCATGATCTTTCGAATATTGGAACAGATATTTTGTCTTAAAATCACTAAAAACAGATTTTCATGGCACTCAATACCGAACAGAATCTTTAGTTTTAGCTGTACAACAAGTGTCTGGGGTTACCCGCCGTCCGGGGCTACTCGACTTTCCCCTATACACAAATTTGAAAATGAAAATACATGACTTTTCCATGACTCTTCGTAAACTTTTATGATAAATCACTAGAGTAAAATATTCAATTATTGTCATACACTATTTGCAACTAAACTATTTGGACTAAACATATTAGTATGTTAGTAATAAAAGATTCCAGGAAAATTTCTTGAACTTTCAAAAATTTTTAAAATTAAGTTAATTTATTGGTAGTGGGTAAAAAATTTTTAATCTCTTATTTAAGTAATTATTATAGATTATTTTATGGTAAAATGTTGTGGGGCAGGTTATAAACATTTTAGAAAATCCTCCACGAAAATCACTTTTTTTTGCTATTTTGTTTAGTTTTTTTATAATTATAAGTAGCAACTATGATAATTTATTTTCAAAATTAAAAAAAAAAATGGTATTACTCTGTTTTTGATTTGCGTGTTGACGTTCAGAGCTGTATCAAATTAGGATGGTTCTTTAAGCTGACCATAATTTGTGCCCTTAACCTTAAAAGGAGGAGACATCTTTCAATGTCTATTAAATTAGTTG